TTTTTACCTTAATTAATCCTTAATTTAGACAAGTTGAATGAATAAAGTAACGAATGTGAACAATGAAAATAATATATAAATATTGTTATTTGATTTTACAGGTAACTTTTGGTTTGTGTTGTAGTTATATATTAGTCTATCTGATATGTAATCGATATGTTTGGAAGCGTTTCAAGAGTAAAGTTTTAAATGTCGAAATGGAGCTGGAAGAGCTCGAACAATCACTATCTGAGTCCCGATCAGCCTCAGGTAAACTAAGCAAATTTTTCAGGTCTTTAAGTTGTTATTTATAAAATGGGTTAAATATGTAGATTTCTTGTATTCTGTTCTAGTTTTAATAAATAAGTTGTTTTCCATTTAACTAGATATGTATGATAGCAGTGATGAAGAAGTCATAGCCATTCATCATCTCATTCCATCCAGGGATAACTTCAATAAAGGTATGCTCATTTCATACTTCGTAGTTGTCTGTATCTTTGTCCATAGCCCTTTTTCAGAAGGTTAATACTCAAAATTGGCATCATGTCATGTCATTTCGTTTCACAATATGATCAAAATTGGTCAAGTAGCAGCCATTTCAATCATGAAAACAACCTAAAATAAAATGTCCTCAGACTTTCATGGTCAGATTAGTGGAAATTTTCTGCAATGGCAACATTTACAGGCATTTTTCTGTATATCTTTGTGTGTCTGTCCATTCATCCATTCATCTCGTTTTTTAGCTCTGTTGTCGACTATGTCGAGCGGAGATTATCATATGAGTGATTGTTCGGCGGCGTCAGTCGTCCATGTCAATGTTTTACTTTTTCGACTTCTTCTTGAAAACTACAAGCCTGAATGCTTTGGTACTTGGTGTATATGTACCTTGTATGTATGTACTCTCTCAGATTTGTTCATTTCATGATCATATCTTCAACTCTCTAATTTTGGTGAATATTTTTTGTAATTTTTGGTAAAAAGTGATATTTTCAACTTCTTGTTAAAAACCGAAAGTCCAATTGCTTTGATATTACATATATAGGTACTACATGTGTATCTCTCTCAGATTTGTTCATTTTGTAATGATATCTTCAATTCTCTAATTTTGGTGAATATTTTTGTCATTTTTGGTAAAAAGTGATATTTTCGACTTCTTGTTAAAAACCGCAAGTCCAATTGCTTTGATATTCCATATATAAGTACTACATGTGTATCTCTCTCAGATTTGTTCATTTTGAAATGATATCTTCCATTCTTTAACTTTGGTGAATATTTTTGTCATTTTTGGTAAAAGTGATATTTTCGACTTCTTGTTAAAAACCGCAAGTCCAATTGCTTTGATATTACATATATAGGTACTACATGTGAATCTCTCTCAGATTTGTTCATTTTGTAATGATATCTTTAATTTTCTAATTTTGGTGAATATTTTTGTCATTTTTGGTAAAAAGTGATATTTTCTTCTTGTTAAAAACCACAATAATTTATGGTTAAAAATTATATTTTTGAATTCTTGTTGAAAACAGCAAGTCCCATTGCATTGATACTATGCATATTGTTCATTTTCTAATGATATCTTCTGTTCTTTAATTGAAATGTGCATTGCTAACAGCGGAGCTATCTCAGCCGAGAGGCTGCTTGTTTATCCTACCTACCTAGTATTTTATTTTAGTTGTACTTTTCTTCCATTTTATTTCTTCAACATGAGTTATATTTTCTTTATGTTTCATCTTGTAGGAAGTACAAGTGAGTTACATGTTTCTGACAGGGGTGCTGCATCTGACTCTGCAGCGTCTCTTCACAAGAGAAATTTAAAGAAAAAATTGGAGGAACAACGGATTCATAATCTATAAAGCATCATGTTTATTTTTTATTCCCATATTTGTTACATTCCAGAGTTGAACTTGAAATAAAATGAATTGTGTTGTTTTATATTTTTTTTGCATATATAATTTAATTGAGGTACATGCGCTTATCCTGTCTTCCCTGCAAAATCATTGCATGTTGGTAAATACAAGGAACATTGTACATTTCCATCATTTTTCCCAGCTCCAGGAAGGGCCATTAATTAGTCCCTGTTGGGACATAGTCCGAAAACTCACACACATGATCCAATTCAAGAAGACAGAATGGTGGCCATTTAATGCTAAGTCATCAAAATCAATCACTGGACCTCGGTTGTGCATTGAACATAATAGGTCCTTGATGTTCATCTTTTTTTTCATATCGAATTGAAAATGGCCGAATAGTGACCATTTTGTTTTACCAAATGCATCTTTGACATGCTTTGACTGATCACATTCAAACTTAACACATACATAACGCATAAAATCATACATGATACATATTTGTTTCATAGTCCAATTCAAGATGGCTGAATGGTTGCCATTTTAGTGCTAAAAATTCATCAAAATCAAGTACCGGTATTTTCGCCATTTCAGAACCGGATCTCAGTCGTGCATGGGCATAATTCATTCAAACTTGTTATGTTCTTTAATCATAATCGATGCACATCATTTTATTCCTAGATTTGATTCAAAATGGCTGACTGATGACCATTTTGTTTATCAATAAATACTGTTTTGGGATTCATATTGCTAACATGGCTGGGCTGATCATGTTCTAACATCATGCAACACATTTGCACATACATTTATTTAAGAATCTGATTCAAGAAAGTTAATCATCATGTTCGTGCTGGAAATGAATTATGATTGCCATGGGCAGAATAACGGAAAGAATCACACAAATAAACTGGCTCCACTTTGTATCATGGCTGTCATATGAATGTAAATAATTATTTGACGCTAATGTTGACAGTCACTAAAAACTGAACAATGACTTGTTTTATAATAAATATGAGAGCTATCCATTTATTGGCTTTACTGAATTTTAGTGTCTACTGTGCTGCTACAAGTGATTTGCCAGTTTGATTTTCCACATCAACAGTCTACATCAGACTTTTTCTTCAGGCATCGTTTGGTTGATGCCTTGTTTCCTACATGCTGGTTATTACCAGTGTGTGTAAACAACCCTGAGGTTACGGTGTTGGTGCAAGCTTATTCTTTGGTGCAAGCTTATTAGACTAGTACAGCCATTTCTAAGGTTGCATCAGAGGAATCGATATACCATTTCAGGGTATTTCGTTCAATTCTGAACTCCTGTATGCAAAGCACACAATGGGAGTCTTTGCAGTTTGTGTGTCCGTCCGCACATCTGTCCCACTGATCTCATGAAAGTGGTAGATAAGACAAAAGCAAGGAACATCTTCTATTACCTGTATGTAGACGATTGGTTTCTGCATCATCCATCAATGGTGATCCTGTTTGAACACCTTCAATACACTTTGGCATCCTGGCAATCACTGGGGTTTGTAACAAGTGGAAATCTCAGTTAGAGATAACTTAATATTGTTGTGATGTGATGTGAGAAGAATAAAAGATGCAAGACGCATGGTTGCCAGTATAAGGAGAGGGGTCTCTCCCTGCATACGCAGGTGTCTTAGTGGCCAAGTCCCATGATGCACCTCAGTCATTTGAGTTGCATCATGACATGGACAACAGGGTAACTGCATCTGAGAGGTCACTAAGGCAACCTTGGAAGTGGGTGACATAAGTATTGTTGCCAAAACACCAGTCAGTAGCATTGACTGTGGCAAGACTGTGTTATCCAAGCAAGGCTGTGCATGCTGCAGTGACAGCCCCCAAATTACAGTCAAAGAATCTCAATGTGTGATGGCATGTGAGAATCGTGCATTTTATTAGTATACTCGTTCAAAATTAGTACAAATGAAATATTAGCATTATGCTTACTGTGAGTTGCGCATGTCCAGCTAGTCCTTGTAAGTGTGTATTTACTGCACATTATACTATTGTTAGTGTTCAACTCAACTTCAGGTACTTGTGTTTTTATCAAGATGTTTAGATCTTTCACAGAAATACATGATATCATTGACGTACATTACTATAAATGATAAATCCAACTATCTGATGGTTACGTTAATTGGAAAGTCGGATATACAAAATAGCACCCCAGCGGACACCGTGACCGTTGAGGGCGGGAAAGATGTTTGATAATATGAAATGTATAATATTGCTATCGTAGCCTGGGCGTTGCCATTAAACGTGGGTCAATAAACGATTTCTATAGAATTATATTCAACAGTTTCCACATGGTAAAGCTCATCACGTTTTTCCACTACCAATTTAATACCTTTTTTAAAATGAATATGCAAGCGCCACCGGTTAAACTTCTACAGCTTTGGTTGGCTACCCGAAGTGATAATGATATGCGACGTTTCATTGCAAATTACAAAGCGTTACTACTGATCAAACTTCCAATAAATAGCAATCTGTATAGGGGAGCTTTACATCAATCTTAGCGCTGATCATAAACAAATGAACGTGATTTTGTTTCATAGTGTTTAACGGGACGTAGCCATACTATAGCGGGCGCGGCTTATTCCGTGCACTGGATATTTTCAATCTGTTCTCTTTGACTTTCGGAATAAAACAACAGCCCACCAAAACAGTCAATAAATCGAGCGAAATTGCAGATAACAATAGGTTATCGAAGGTTTAAGTTTGATTGCGACTATGGTTGCCATGACAAATGTGAATGTACTCGACTGAGTTACTCTTCCTGAAAGACCATGCGTATATGCGGTATGCAACAGCTGTGTGCTTGATGGATATAGTCCGATATTAATGACAATCATGTAATATATTTACTAACAATACTGCAGTCAATAGAAGTAGCAACTTGACTGAATAAAAGTCTGATTGATACGTCAAATTCGTACTATAGTCTGTATGGTGTACAACGCCTGTTTCGTCGACCAGACTGGACTCCATTATCTTGAAGGTGGGTAAATTAATTTATACTAGTAAAAGTACAGAAGGGTTATGACTTTAGAGTAATAGAGTGCATACATAATAAACTAATTCATCGTTATTTACGCTTATATATACGTTGTGAAAATAAAAGTTTCGCGAATCCAATGCACTGGAAGCGTCTATTATTTATTATAGCTAAGCTGTTTTTAGTTTAAATTATTAGTTGGTGGCAGACACGCATTTTAGGGATTTAAATACGACAGATTAAAAATTATTTCACTGTGTGATTGGCCGATCTCTTAGTATATTATGCTAATTTAAGTAGACGACAGAGGTCAGAGATTTGTTAATTTCACTACGATCAACCACAAATGATGTCCCAGCGCAGCGGCAGGATTCGTAAATTATATTTCAAATAATTGTTTGGATTCAACTCAAAGCGAAACGTGCAACAATGTAAGTATCGTTCATTGTTAGTGGCATTGTCAATATAAGTACATTGCAACACATGTACTTTTATTGGTGATGTTTTAGTTTAAATTCGTTATTGAATTATACACATTATCATGCCGGGAGTAAGTAGCAAAGCAGCCTGTGTAGGATTAAGATTATACAGGCCAACGACCATGCCTTACTCTGCATGAGAATGTTGAATAAAACAAGTCAAATTCTTTTTAACTGCATTTTGGCCAACAACACGTCCAGGGCAGTTCATACGACGAATTCATACATTGTTTCTGATCGCACGGCGTGTCACGTGGGATAACATGAAGATATCATTAATTTTTTAAAATTTATTTAAAAAAAAAATATTTTAAATTTCCATGTAATCTTATTTTTAGTGCAAAAAATATTTTAAATTTCCATGTATCTTAGTGCATAAAACTATATTTATAATCTCGATCAATTTCAAGCAATTGTGTGCTCTATTTATCTCAATGCTATAGTTTTTACCCGGACTGTCGATTAAATATTCCTATAGTTTTCGCAACTGTATGTGTCCAACTACGTAGCCAACTGCGCCACCAAGCGGTAGCCTTGTATAATTCAATGTCCCGGAATTTCGACCATTGCTAGTCAGGAGTGAGCCATTATCAAAGCTTGGACTGACTAGTCTAGAATCATAATAATAATTAGCTAACAAAATATGGCAGACAATGCACCTTTCGTAAAGGTTACTTCGATGACGTGAATGGGTCAAAGGTCGTTCACAGCGTCGATATCATTTTGATAAATAGTCATCTATCAATTAAAATTATGTTCTTGTGAGATTTAAATATATTCCAGATGACGAACGACTACGCATCCAAACAACGCCCCCGATTTGAGCGACATTTCCTTCACCTATATACGTCATTATGGCGTCACAGAAGCAATATGTCACTGGAGGGCGCGATTCATCAGAATGGTGCACCAACAATTTGACAGAAAAGTTTATGGCACTCAGATCGCCAAGTATCCTAGAATACGCATTATCAAGTAAACAAATGGTGGTCTGCTTTAAAATTGTAACACATCCAGCACGCCAGATATAATGCTCCGTTCCTTTATCACGGAGATCGCTGTTGCTGTTACAAAATATATTATGACTAGTGAAATTGAGTCTAGGCAAATGTTTTCTTTTTAAATATCATTGTATATATTTATCTCATATATTAATGTAATAATATGTATTTGTGTATAAATTGAGTCCTATCCAGGCTCAACGGCAAGCAGGTATTAACCGCAGGTCGTTGATTTTGTTGATAATCGTTGCATTGAGTTAAAGCGGAAGGGTCGTCACCTGCGCACGCACGGGATTAAGTCCCAAGCGATGATAACCACACACGCTAAGAACGCAAAGGCTCATGGGTAGAAGCTTGTTTGTAAACAAATACACGCTATCGCCACCTGACGCATGCGTAGGTGACGACTCCCCCGCTTTAAAATGGATTGCAACTAAAAATCCATTCTCAGACAGACTATTGATCGACTTCGGTCGTACTGGCGTACAACACAGTGTACGACAGCCATTACACTGGGGGGAAATCGAGCTACAATGCTAGCAGTGTTACATGGGTTTCAATCAGGGATTGTCACGCAGCGGGCCTCACTGAGGAAATAAAGAAGAATTGACAATATGGAAACTTTCAATGCATCAGAATGTAACTCGCTGACAGAAATAATGTGCACAGCTGATGGTGTTTGTTTTAATCTGACACATACTAGTGCACTTTATATATGAACTATACTTTTATTTTACAGTTGATGTCATCTAAATACTCAGAGCTTCGTTTCCTGGGAGCCGGTGCTTTTGGTTCCGTTTATCTCGTGAAGAAGAAAAATGGATCGGAATTCGCCCTCAAGAAAATCAGCTTGGGGACCAAAAAATCAGAGACTAGCGCAATCAAAGAATTGGAGGCGTTTGCCAAAATTACATGCCACGACCACATTGTGAAGTTTTACGATGGATATTTGGACCAACAACAACTATGCTTGGTGATGGAGTTCTGTGATGGCGGGAATTTGGAGGAGTATCTTTTGCAGAGACCGTGTAATCGACACATTCATTCACGTTTCATGATTCAGCTCGCTGATGCTGTTCATTTTCTTCATAACAACGAGATTGTACATAGAGATTTGAAACCAGACAATGTGTTGGTGTGTCGACGAAGTGATGGGCTGGATGTTATCAAAGTTTCGGATTTCGGTATTTCAAAAATAGTTGATATTGACCAAAGAGTTGTTATTTCCTCCGTAAACAAAGATGTGAACTTTTTGAAATGTTCAAATAACCAATTATATGGTAACTATGGCGCGGGGACGGAAGCTTTCATTGCACCGGAGGTTTATGAAAGCCATTATACCAGTAAAATTGACATATTTTCGTTAGGTGTGATTTATCTCGCTATGCTTGAACGAGAGATTGAACCGTTCTCATTCCAAGCAAAATGGCTTGGAGCGTTATTTTATTATGATCCATTTGCCATGCATCGTAATAATATTGACACCCCTTACATCGGCAAGGTCATGTTTCAGAACCCCCAAGCTACCCGAGCTCTTGACTACAGAGTCTCGGTCAGTTCGCCTATCAGGAACGTAATCAACAGAATGATTCTCCGGGACTATCACAGGAGACCTACAGCGGAACAAGTGTATATACTAACAAAGGAGTATTTTCAGTGTTTGAGAAATGACGACAATTCGAAGAGGAAATGTTCCGATGTTAAAATTAATCCCATCTCAATCAACAGTGATGAGAAGCGCCACCAAGCGCGTACGCACAGAAAGGTGTCAGTGCCCGATTGCATTGTGCCGATATCACCAGGTAATAGGGACACATCATATTGACGTTCAGCAATCATCAAATTCATGTTTATTGCCAATACTCTCTAAATATTTTTAATGTTATATTTTAGTATCGAAAAAGGCTCCGGTAAGGGCTGCAAAGATGGTCAATTCTCGAATTAGGCCAACCCATATGGTGATTGCCAGTGAAAACACAGATACGCCGTGTGATATCTGCCACCCTTCTGTAAGACTCAAATGTTTTGGAGTGAGTGGGTGCTTGTTATTCTGGTCTGTGTGAGTATCTCTTCATCTTGTATATTGTTGTTTGACCCCTCTCAAAGCATGACCAAAATTCATGACCAAAATCTTCGCCTCTTGACTTGGGTTATCAGTTACGGGGCTTTGTATGGGGTACAGGTGTACTTGACGATAGGCAGGATCATTCTCTAATCTCTAGCATATATGTTTGACGATATAAACCCTCAACTCTAACATAAGGCAGAGTAAGGTAAATGTGACTGATGATGACAGATTTTGACCCATGACTGTCAACTGTGACGTATTCTCATGCGGGGACAAAACATACTAACGTCTTGCATGTATGCGCGTTTACCACGTCGGATTTAATGGATGGTAATATTCACAATCGAGCATGCCTTTGATCAGTACAATACAACACACACACATACAGATTATTTCAATTGCACATTTTTTTATTTCAGAATGTCACTGTTCATTGTGTGGGGAATCTTATGGACTTAGGTGTGATTTTATGTGTATTCTGGAAGAATGATGCAAACCACCAGTACAAGAACAGAGTGGTAGCGGTGTACAATATAAAACTTACGCCCCAAACGCAATAATTCAAACTGATTTAAAATCAAAGCTAACTTTTTTATGCAGATATTAAGTTCACGTGGCACTTCATTTTGATTGTAAGTTTTAATGTCCTCATGTTACACAAATCGGATAGAATTCCGTGCACACTTTATATATTTATACAACATATATTTCAATATTTTATGGAAAATGGCAATCAAATAAAGTATATCTCTGATTCATATGGGGCAAATGATTGGCAACCGTTTAATTTGACAGATATACTTCGCTGTCGCTTCTCGGGGTAGTTTTAGTGGGACGCCCAATTACACGCTGACAATTTAATAAATTTAAACGTTAGTGAAATGAAAGTTTCTGGGCAATTTCAGGTTGTTCATACTGTACCCCACTCGACACATCTATATCATTGCAATAAATTTAAATACATGTACTAGCCCCATTTATACATATAAGCGATCAATGCAATCAACATGTTAATATTGGTGCATATTAATTTCTTTATTAATATGGATATTCAAGCATTTCTGGTTATATTTAATTATGACGTCATATGTGCTTTTTTGGAATGTACTAATATCTCCGTAAATGCGCATCTGATGTTTGGCGGGGGAATCGTGAAAACACGTTATGATGGAACATTTGATTATGATTATGTGATGTGACGTCATGTTAGTATGATTTGTTTCCTATATATATTACATTGTGCAATGTTTCCTTCGAATGAAATAATTATGTCTATAAATGTTTATAAAACCTAAATACAATTGTTTTTTTATCACATTTCAGTCACTAGCTAAGCAAAATGTACAATATATAAACAATCTGTCTCGAATACATAACATGTAAATGTTAAAAAATTGTTAACAATAGCAACACGAACCTGGTAGATCGATATCTTACTCAGGCTCACGTCACCCTAGTTCGCTTTGTTATTTGTTTAGTATCTTGACCGTTTGTGTTATATCTTAAATGTGGATAAATGTAAAATATTAAGATAAGCCATGGTAACAACAAAATAACTAAGGAAACCTGCTAGCAAGCCCCCCCCCCCCTCACAAAAAAACAACTTTCTGTCTATACGCATTGCTACGCGCTATATCGATAGAGAGTGCGATTTGTTAAATATAAGTAATGGTATCGTCAGAAAAACCGGAAGATGCCGACCCATGAACAGTTGACCTAGCTACGCCAGCAAATATTATAATATGTTTCGAATGTGCGTTTTACACATGGTTTAGACGCAGAAAAGATTCAGACCCACACATCGGACACATGCAGTCATTATAAATTATATATTAGCAGAGCGATCGAGGCCCACGGCAAAATACATTTTTCTAAAAAAAAAAAACTATACTGTTTGCTACTGGGTTGTGAACCACGCCGATTTATACTTCTACTAAATGTGTATTTTTTACATGGATGCTCGAACTCGTTAACGAGATTTTTTTAGACAAAATCAAACGTAGAATACAGTTGACCCTGCTCAAACAGCAACATTTATACTATGATTTAGTTACAATTATTGCACAGTGCTTGGTTTAATAACGAATCATAGATTGGAATCCGACGACCCTAGTATTTTGCCATATTTTTTATTAGTAAAGTGATCGAGATCTTCGCCAAAATAGATGTCCAAGAGACAGCCGTTGCGGTGACATATCATCGTCCGATCGCACGGCTTCGCACGGGATAAATCAAAAGGTGCGATCGGAATAACTAATAACTAGCTATGGGAGATTTTAGCTAAATCTTTGGTAGGGGCGTTAATGCGATAAGGAGAATGGTCGCCGAGATATGATATTGCGAGTAAAACCATAAAATTGCTCATAAATACAAAAACAATAAATAAAACATAGAAATTAAAAAATATATTGGATTTTTATCAGATTGTAGTTTACTCAAATGGAGGCTTTGGCGTGTTTGCTGTTTATGTGGACGAATATCAAATAAGACCTCACGCACATCAAATAATAGTATGCATATACGTCAACTTGTTAAACATTATTTTTTTTTTTATCATGCTCTGTTTCATTCTAACAGCTTACTTAAATGAATATACGGGGTTTAATGGCGTATAATATCTATGCAATGTAAATAGCTAGCCGAAACAAATGTATATATATTGCTTTATTCCAGCAGGTGATCTGCGATTTAAATATAATGGTTCGTTCTTATTTGTACAACAAAGTGGTTCAATATGTGTTCTATTCTAATGTACTGTATATATCATTTGAAGGAAAGAAATAAAACAGTTATAAATTTATGATGACTTATCTCGGACATGCCCTTACTGACCACGTTCAATTTACACATATTCATACTATATCTTGGGATACATTTACACGTGCATTGTTTTGTGATTCAAGGTTTTCAAATATCGGCCATTTTACTATTAATACTTCTTAAAATCAAGTAATTCCAGGATTTCAAAACCAGATCTCAGTCGTGTCTTGACATATTTCGTTCATACATGAACATGCATTGAACATTAGTGGAACTCTGGATGCATATCATTTTGCCCTGTAGATTCAACATCATGGTCAACATTTTGTCTTAGTGTATGCCATCCTAGTGCCTTGTCTAGGATATGTCTGGACTGGTCAGGTATGTCAGACATTTTGGGATACATATGCACTCACATTCGTTTCATAATCCAATGCAAGATGGCTGAATGATGATGGCAGCCGTTTTGTGCTGAAAAATCATGTGTTTTTTACGGATCTCATTTACATCATGGAATAATAATGCAGGTTATTTTGTTTCACAAATCGTACTCAAAATGGCCGAACGAATTCAGTTCATACATCATATCACACATATCCACAAGAGCCAATTCATTTTACTACCAAAATGCATAAAAATCAAACATTGTTGTCTTTCTAATTCAAAATCTCAATTATGCATAAAAATATGCAATTCCGTGCACATATCGGTCATCAGGGACATTGATACACGACCTTGACGAATGCTGTTTTTCGTCATATCTCTGACAATGACATGCGTTGACTGATTACGTGTAAACTTTACGTCACACGTCGCATATACGCACATGAGTTTATTTCCCTATCCAATCAAGATAGCCGACTGGGACTATTTTAATTTAGTCCTACCAATGTATGAAGATCTGACTTGTATTTGTGAAAGTGAACTAATTTCGCTGTGAAGTGAAGTGAACTAACATTCTACACAGCGTTTATCATCATTGGGTTTGACATGTACATGTACCATATATTGATCAGGGCGAATCTCCAGAATGCTAGATTAGTTAAAGCGC